ATTCCTGCTTTCTCCTGCCACTCCCGTTCCATGCACCATTTTTGACTCTTTGCACACCTTGCCTGTAAAGCTTATTCATCCTTCCCAATCGAGCTCAAGTGTGAAGCTTTCACACCACTTCTCTTTGACAGAGTTGGCTGCTCCGCTCCACCCCTAGGTCTCCCTAGCACTGGCTGTAAAGTCCGTTTACATGTCTGCCTCCCCGGCCAGACTGTATTTCTAAAGCCTGTTACAGACAACTAACGGACTGGAAAAGGGCAGGGACATGACTGAGGCATCTCTACATCGTCCATGCTTCCCCCACCCCCATCCCCAACAGAAATCGGTGCGTTGCGGGGTGCTTAGTAAAGAGAAATGAATATATGCGACGGGACAACATGGCAAAGATAACAGAACAACGAGGGGTAGGTCGAGGATCTACATCGCCCCAGTAACGACTGTATCACTCAGATGAAAGCCTGGATAATAGCAGCAATCACTGTCGCCCGTTAAGCGCTTATTACATGCCAGGACCTGTGTGTGTATACAAACAATTTACTTGCATCACTATCCCGTTTAATCCTTTCCACAGCTCTGTAAGTACCATCATCAATTCCACGTTGCAGATAAAACTGAGGTTCAGAGGGGCAAAAGCCCGGCCCAAACTTGTGCGGCCAGCCTGGAGCAGAGGCGAAATTCCAACCCCGGCCTGAGACCCACCCCCAGCCTTCAACCACTGTTCTGGAGTTTAGACCGCTGGCTCGGCAAACAGGCCCCGACCGAGAGGCGCAGCCCGGCCTCGGGTCTCCTCTTACCCGGAGGTGGCTGCAGCGCCCCCCTAGTCCCCGCTGTCGGGGGTGACGATGGGTTGGGTCTGGGCTGGGCCGAGGTGTCCGGCCCCAAAGAGGATGGTGCGCGGGTAAGCGGGGCCGCGTACAGGGAGAGGTCTGCGACTTCCGGAACTCAGAGCGACGCCCGTCCAGCCCAAAGCCTCCGTCCCCGAAAAACAAGGCCGCAGGCCACTCTCCGCGGCCCCGGAGACCCCCGCACTCCCTGCGCCAAAGCGTCTGCTCCTTCCTGGTCTGGGCCCGCTTGGCTATAGGCCGCCCGCGCCCGCCCGCGCCCCGCCTCCGGTGAAACTCCCGCCAGCCGAGGGCGCATGCGCCGCCGGTGGCCTCCACGGCTCGCGCAAGCGCACGCGCAGAACGCCGGCTTCACTCAAGGTGCATGCGCAAACGGGTGTTCAAGACTTGTTGCCCCGCCCGCTTTGTCCAAGTTCTTCCCAGCCCAGCCTTTGCCATGTTACACCTCCTCAGCTACGCCACGCCCAGGGAGTCACTAACTGGGTCCCATCACACCAGCGTATCCTTTGCGCCCAGTACGCCTAGAGCCTTTCTAAGATGGGGAACAGAGGTCCAGGGAGGTACTTGCCAAAGGAATACAGGGCATTAGCGGGTGGGCAGTGATGCCTGCTCCGTCGCTAGGCCATGGTCACCCCTCCTTTTATCTTCTTAACGCTGAAAATGTGGACCATGACTCTCACACTTTTTTCAGTCCTGCTCTAGCACATATTCTCCCTTTGTGGTCCCTTCTATACTTGGCAAAGTATAGAACTCTCCTTTGTAAACTCACTGCAGGCCAGCCCCTCCCCAAACTGCTTGCCTCTCCTCTCATCATCCCCCATTGCTTCTACTCCTTTGCTCAAGCCATTCCCTCTGCCTGGGAAGCCCTTCAAGCCTTTTGTTCTTGGCAAAATTCTCCGATTTTTAAGCCTCAGCTGAGGATTCGTCTCTCTCTCAGAGCCTTCTCTGAGGCCCCAGGCTGAAAAGCAGATCCCCCTTCTGTGCTCCCAGGAGTCCAACCTGTGCCTGGCCCACTATCCCTTGCTGGCTTGGGGGCTCCCAGATAGCAGACTGCTGCTTCAGCACCCAGCATGATGCCATCAGAATGTCCCCTTGCATGTGCAGTCCTTTGGGATCTGAAACCTCCAAGTGTTGAATTACAAGCAGTCCACAGAAACTGAAAAAAGGGTTGGTGAGCAGCAGCTGGAACGTGACTGTGGTCATCCTTCTATAGCAGCTGTGGTCCTTGGAAAAGTTTTCTGGTGGTAGGCAGAAATCTGCCTTCCTGAAATTTCCACCATGTGGTTCCAGCATGTTGGCTACCAACAGACATCTGAAAGCAGAGGTTTGCTCTTTATTCCCTGAATATCACTTTTCTAGAGCCCCGTTCCTTCTCTGCTCACCCCGCTCCTTCAACTACTACTGGCTTGTCAATATCCCAAGAACAGAACACAGCCAGAACTGGCCTTCCTGGGGCACAGTGGGTCTACTGCTTCATGGAATCCAGACCCAGTACATCCTCTATGTCCCCTCTCTGCTTTCAGTTCTTAGGTGGCTCCCTACTGTCCACAGGATGTGGACACTCCTTCCCTCCTAAGGCCCTCTGTGATCTGACCCAGCCTCTTTCATCACGCCAGTGACTTCTTTCAGTTCCCCAGTTCTGCTCTTCTTTCTACTAGGCTTTCACACATGCCGTTCCCTCCACCTGGGACATGTCCTTTCCGTCTCCTGCCTACAACACACCACCATCTCCTTCATCTGGTCCTCTCAAGCTTAGGTATCAGTTCAGATGTCCCTCTGCAGCCTTTGCTGATTCCTCCCAGCTCCCTGAGCACCCTGGGCTCCCCCTGGCCATTGACATTTGCTTTCCTGTTTTTCAGGCCCATATATTGTTATCCTCAATGCCTAGCACAGGCCTGGCTATTGTTAGGCCCTCAAAAAAGAAGAGATCTGTGTAATTTTCATGTGGTTGCTGGCTTCCAAGATGGCCCCTAATGTTCCCCACTTCCTGGTCTTCATACCCTTGTATAATCCTCTCCCACAAGGAATAGGGCTAATCTGCATAACCAATAAGATACTGCAGAAATGACAGTGTATGATTTTCAAGGCTTAGTCATAAAAGACATTGTAGCTTCTACCCTCCTTTCCCATATATCACTTGCTCTGGGGGAAGCCAGCTGCCATGTTGTGAGGATGCTCAAGCAGCCATGTGGAGAGGGCCACCTGGGGAGGAACTGAGGTCTCTTGCCAACACTGACTTGCCAGGCATATGAGTGAGCCACCTTGTGGATCTTCCAGCCCCAATCACGCCTTCACATGATTGCAGCCTGATTGACACTTGACTGCACCCTCAGGAGACCCTGAGTCAGAACTACTCAGCTCCCGAATTCCTGATCCACAGCATCTGTGATATAATAAACGTTTGAGGATAATTAATTCTACTGTAATGGATAATTAATCCATGTCCTTTTTTTTTTTTTTTTTGGCGGTATGTGGGCCTCTCACTGTTGTGGCCTCTCCTGTTGTGGAGCACAGGCTCCGGACGCGCAGGCTCAGTGGCTATGGCTCACGGGCCCAGCCGCTCCGCGGCATGTGGGATCTTCCCGGACCGGGGCACGAACCCGTGTCCCCTGCATCGGCAGGCGGACTCTCAACCAGTGCACCACCAGGGAAGCCCCCATGTCCTTTTTTATGAAAAATTTTTGAAAGACTTTTGTAGAAAGTTTCAATTCCTTTTTTATTTTTGGCCACACTGTGAGGTTTGCAGGATCCTAGTTCCCTGACCAGGGATTTAAACCCGTGCCCCCTGCAGTGGAAGCGTGGAGTCCTAACCAATGGAGCTCCAGGGAATTCCCTCAATTCCATTTTTGATGACTCTGCATTTATTTCTCAGTGGTCATACCACCCTTCATGGGAGACTCTGAGGTGTCAGCAGTCAGTAGCCAGGAACCCCTGGTGGCTCCTCCTAAGTGACCCCCAAACCAGCCAGCTGGCTGTGGCATTCCCAGGGCTCCTTCCTTCCCAGGCAACTGGGTGTGGGGTAGAGTCAAGTTTCAAATCTGCTGAGCACCCCACCCACCCAAAATGAGAAATCAGAGAAGAGGCCAAGTCCATGGAAACTGTTCATATGACATACTTTATTTCCAATCTACAACCATTAAAAATGCTTTGTAAGTTTACACTGTACAGTTATTCTCATGTCTGAAATAAGACACGGGGGCAAGGAGAGCTGGCGGATTGGACCATGGTTGTCCTAGCACCCAATCCATCCTGGGAAAGAGCCTTCTGAAGACAGGAGTGGGAAGGAGAAACAGCGGACAGGAGAGGTGGAGATTGGCCCAAGGACGCCC